TATTTTTAAATTCTCAAAATATTTTAACTTACGATAAATTTAAAGTTTTTTAGTTGAATATTTTTATTGCCGTTCGAAAAGCCAATCCGTCAACTTCAGGCACGATATTTTTATAGGAATTTATAGCGCATCATTTATCATAATGTCAAGTAAAAACTAAAGTTTGGCAAAGAATAAAACGTCAACAAAGTTATATCTATTGTTTGCCACTTAATCAAGTAAAACAAAAATTCTTGGTTAGCTCTATGATCGCAGCCCACTCCCATTCGCGCTGCACCTGTTTTTCCATATTGGCTGCAAAATGAAACGCGCTCTAATCACAAAATTCGATTGCATTTTGAATGCAAATTGCATTCAAATTACAATTTGGCCATGCGGAATGGCGCTTGTAATAATAATCAGGCAGCTGCCAGTTGTTTGCACAATTTCGACAACAAAACTTGTAACTGGAATTACGGTGTGGCCATAGATCATTTATAATTAAAGCTTAAATTGAATAATATAAGAGTCGATCAAATTGGCTGGCTACCTGTCAGGATTTGTAAACTTATCTTATTAAGCAAATTAACTAATAAGAAAATTTTCGAATTATTTTTGAATTATTTATTTTGCATTTTTAATGACAGCACTAATTGCTCTGTGGTTTGAGGCGTTCTAAGTGCTCGCATTAAATATGCAATTAGCTTAACATCTTTTGACCAACGCAGTATTTGGTAATATGCACACACCCTAGGCTATTGCCTTCAAGTACTCGCCTTTCTGTTGCCGCAAATAAAAGGATTGCAAATTTTGAAATATGCAGAGAAAAAACCCATTTGGCCTCAGGCCGTTCGTGTCACAGATGTCCATCTGTGGCAGAAAATTCCATTAACTAGCATGGCAGAGCAGCTCGAATCGAAGTCCGAAGTCTTTGCTTTTGTCGACAGTCGTGTTGTCTCTTTGCTCAGAGCAAATATCAACTAGGCACACACACAATGAAGGATGCCCGGTTGGGGCATAAACTCTTGTTTAGACGGGTTTGCCCAGTTGTCCATTCGACAGTTGGAAATGCTTGTGTTTGTTTATTTCTTTGTGCTTTGGCAACAGCGGCAAAAACGTTCATTAAAATGCAATTTAGCTTTGCCATTTACCAGGTGATTTCAATTATTTTGAAGCGAGCGCTAAAAAGTATGCTACATTTAATGGAATGGCCGGGCACGTGCAACGCTCTGCCCGAAAAAATGAATGATGGCTTTGTGGCAAGCCATAAAGATTTAATATGAGTTCAAATAACGTTTTCCCGAAGCTTTTACCCTCGCATCTTAATGACTTTGAAATTGCCATTCAACCACATGTGCCTGGGCCGGAGAAGAAGCAACAAGATGCTTCCTAGAACAAAGCAGGAAGTGGCACGTCTCCTTTTGCGACACCACGTTGCGTTCTATTTACGTGATGCCAGTGCCACACCAGCAAATGGCAAATGGCAAATGGCAAATTAATTTCCAAAAACTCGTTTTTGCCAAGTTTAAATTGTAATTGTTACCCGGGCATGCCACAAGGTACTTTTTTGGTCAAGGTGGAAGCATCAGCAGCAACAGCAACATGTGGCCTAGAAGTCATCATACAAAACTTGTATAAAATATAAAGAACAATCAGAACCTTTAATGATTGACTATTAAATCAACATTCAGACATTGCTAAGCGTAAATCTCTTTCGATTGCTTTAACACTCATAATGAGTTGTAATTTATCAGAGAATCGATTTGCTTCCCTCTCTCTCCCTCTCGCTTTCTCAGTGATTATTTTGGGAAACGACCTTTCTATTCTAAGCAGCAGCTTGTGCAAAGTTCAATAATGTTATAACGATTTGCTTTGCATCTGCAGTCTAGACAGCAAATTGGAAGGCGCAGACAGCCTTTGAGGCCTAGATAAATATTGGTTCGTGGCAAGTGCAAAAATTTAATTTGTTTTCGTCCGACGTAAATTCCGCAAATAAATTTGAAACGAATTTCAATGAAGAAACAAACAAATTGTGAACTGGGCAGCATTAAATTCGAATTGATTTCATTACGTCGGCCCACGGAATGCCTAAAGCCAAAGCCAAATGAAAATGGAACGTATTTTCAAATTGATTGCGCTAATTTGCGGCTTGAAATAAAATGAATAAAAAGGAAGAGCAAATGTAAATAAAATACGTATAAATTAAATAGGTAAGCGAACAAAAGCCTAAAAAATTACATTTCAAAACAATTTACAAAAAACAAAGCCAAAGCGAAAGCGAAAGCCCAAAATGAACTGCAAATTGTTGGCAATGAAATTGGGTCTGGGCCCACAGAGCAGAGAAAACAGAAAAAAGACTGTGAAATATTTGTGCGACAGCTTTGTAGAGTAAGCGAAATGAATTTAATCCCAAATTTAGGCTGCACTTATCTAAACAGCTGAGCTAGATTTAGACCCAACATAAATATAACTAGGCAAAGGAAAACAAAGCGAAAAGCCAAAATACTTAGAAAGGACATATAAGAGAACAAGAAGAAGTTTTCTTTATTTAATGCTTTAGCAGGAAAATGTATATTTAAGGGACGACTAAATGGGTATACAAACATTGAATGAAAGATGAACAGAATGTTTGTTCATTAACAAATATTTACAGATTTCTGCTCATATATATCGTCGGCTTGTATAAATTTAGCTGCAAAAGCAACAAATTATTTATAAACTTTGCTGTTAACACAATACACCGTATACAATCCCTTCTCCTGTCTCTTTGCTTCGGAATACTTTCATTCCATTATTTTAGATGACCTCCTCAGCAGAGCGTGGCGTATTGGAAGTAAAGCTAAAATATCGTCCACAGTTGTAGAGGTAACTAGGACTGAAAAGTTCATAGGCTAACACACACACAATGCTGCAATATTACATCTATGTGATTTCTAATTTCAGCTGCTATTCTACTTGTTTGTGGGGTAGAGCATTTTGAATGAAGCAACATTTAATAGTTGGAAGAATTTCAATAAAAAAGAATTTTCTGCGTTAATAGCTCATTGCTTTTTAGCGAAAACACATTGTTGAAGCTAAGGCTTCGCTTAACAACAGGGAACTGGAAGAAAAACGTCCCTACTTGAAGTAAAAGAAAGTGTTGCTCAAGACAATCAAATCAAAGAAAACGATGGCAAATTTCCATGAATTACTACCGCATTCTTCAAACCTGGAGCCCAGCGACTTTTTCATGGAACTCAAGAGAATGCTTGCTAGAAAGAAATATTGTTCCGATGAAATGGCAATTGCCAATGCTGACGCCTTTTTTTAAGGCTATAGAGGAGATGTACTATAAAATTGTTGTTGAAAAATGGGAGAATCTTTATAATTTTGTATCGCTATCAAAACCAACTGTATTGAATAAAAAAATAATTTTTATCAACAAAAATTTGTTTTCTTATGGTAGCCTAACTGTTAGTTCTACGATGCTTTGCAGGCGATCTGTTGTCGAACTTCCATCCGGATTGACCGGTAATAGAATTATATATAATAGAATTGGAATAGAATAATAGAATTATATATGTATCTATAAGTTTGCATCAAACTTAATTTGCCCAGTAAGACAATTTGTTTAAGGCAGAGGCAATTTACATATTAATTAACTTTCGTTAATTAATGTATTTAAAGTCAGCTTAGAGGCATGTATTAAACAGTGATATTTAAATATGTTCATCGTGCACACTTTCAAAATTAATTTAGCAGAAATTTGGCAACTGTCAGCTGAATATTTCAGGAGGAAACTTTTCTGTGGAACAAGCAATCAGGCTATGAAATACGTAAGCCAACAAAAGAGACATGTGAGGCGAAACTCCATTAAGGCCGCGATATAAAAGAGCACGAAGACAATGAAGCCTGCCTTCAAAGTTCATGTCGGCGCGCTGGCAAGTGTGGAAAAATGTCAAAAACTTAAAACCAACGAGCGCAAAAGGTTGAATGCCAAAGTTCCACAATTGGAAAACTGTCAGTGAACCATGTGTGGCGCCGAAAGCTGCAAAAATCCCATTCGTGACTGCTGACATTGAAGAGAAGCTGGGCAGGTAATTGACATTTGATTAGCGCGATGTCAGTTAAGCACTCGTGTCATTTGACTCTGAGGCTAATTAATATTTGTGACTGAAAATGAAGAAGAAATAAAGCTCGTTTCTTGTTGTTGAAAACATTCAGTATCATATCGATTGCTTAAAGCCAGTTTGTTTATCTTCGCTCTGTTTCCCAGTGGGTGCAACGCAGAGCCACAACAACAAGGGACTACCTCTCTGTGGGTTACATTGGGTCACCGCCACGCAACTTGGCCAACCAGCCAGAAAAAAGCAAATATAAAAAGCAAAAAGAAATGGAAAGCAATATTTCAAAAACGGAAATGTTTTGCCAGAATCGAATTGGAAGGACCCGGCCAGACGGCCATTACTCTTACCAAAATTGCACTCGATGCGTATCTTCAAATGGAAACTCGATATTTAATTAAAAGTTGCAATTAGTAATACGACTTTTTCGACTTTTTCCCTTTTGCTAAGCTAAATGTTTTGATAGATCTTACAAGCAAACTAATAAATATACTGAAAAAGTTGTAGAACCATCGATATATGTAGTTAACTAAAATTACATATGCTTAAATAAATGTAGGATACAGCAGCAGCAATTGCTTCTTTTATTTTATAAAATACTTTGCATCTAAGCTCCAGTGCACAGCAAATACTGATTTGAACTGAATATTCAAACTATCAACCGGAAACAGTGCATGCTAAATATATACACACACATGTATCTCCGGCCATGGGGACGGCAAATATTTGCAGCCAAATAATTGCGAGTTTGATTGTTCGTTAATATTTACGAAGCCAACTTCGATATTCCGGAAATGTAAACTATGATTAAATAATCAACATATGCTCCATTCCAGTTGCTGCAGTTGAAGGTGAAAGCAATCTTACAGAAAATGTGTATAAACTACCTTAGATATTTGCCAATTAGAGATATAAGGCTTTCGCTTAAGATTAGAGTTTAATATGGTATCAATGTCATTTTTAAAAACTAAAAATATTTTGTATTTGAGTAAATTGTGCATTTTGCAAATGTCACTAATTGAAATACTCATATATTTGGTAGCAGATGTATTACGAAGAACGCCCCATCACGTGGCAAGGGTAATTTATTAAGGAACTTGCCGTTGTCCCTTATATTTTCGTAGAGATCATCAATGTTGTTCGTTCTGCCACAAATCGTGGGCTAGAAAATTGAAAGTTAATAGTATTTTTTTATCGGATAGCTCAAGTCTACGTAGCTTACAATTCTTGATTTGATCTTCGAGAGCGAGTTTTGAGGGGGCGGTCGACAAAATGGTTTGCACTTGAATATTTGCAGATGTGTTAATTGCAGAAGATGAGTCAAAATATAATTTCGAGCAAGTGCTTCATTCAGATTGGGTGGTCGTGCCTTCAGTTTGGTTATCCATTCAGTAGCTACAGTCTTGTCGGACACGTCCATACTGTTAATTGAGTTTTCCAGACGCAAGATATCACGCTCGAATTGCCTATTCAGATTCTTTAACTTGCGTTGATTTTCGCCACCTTCTTGACGCATACGTTGTGTATCCTTGCTAAGGTCGCACTTTTTCAGGTTTGATTTGCCAGTGACCAATAGGTCAGGGGACTTAAGCACAGTTCTTCGATTAGATTCATTGGGCTGCATGACCAAATTATACCATACCAAAATTTTGTTTACATAAATTTATAAAGAAACCTAAGCGTATGTGTTTTGGCTACTAGATTCGGACGAATTCATTGAGATTTTCAATTTAAATTTGATTATTAACATAAGAGAAGAGAGAAAAATAAATGTAGTAATTTGTATAAAATAATTAAAGTCAAATAAAAAGAATAAATAAAAAAATTAAAAAAGAATTAAATAAATATATTTATTAATAATTTAAAAAAGAAATTTTATAAATAGCCAAGTAACTAAATTAACGAATAAAGAAAAAATATTTTAAAGTATTATTCGAATTTCTGCCATAAATACTGATAATATAAGCAGTTCGCGTTCAACATTAATATTTATTTTAATATTTCTAAAATTACTTTCATTATTATAAGAACAATAATTAACCAAAATATGACAATTCATTTTTATTTTTAGTTTCTTTTCTGCTTCTATTAGAATTAAAGCATTTTTTAAAACTTTTATTTTTTTGTAAACAAAAATTCATATACACAGGAAACTTTTCTATATTCATCCACACATCTAAGCAATACCTGTTCTCTATATATATTTAATGGCTTCATCGATTGTAGTTGATACCAAAAAGCCAGCAACTTTTCTTCGCCAACAAGCTTTACATTTTATGCACTCCCAAAATTAGACATATGGAATTTTAGTTTCATAGTTGTGGGCAAAGTTTGGGGCAGTCAATGGCTAACAGACAAACAGCTTTGATTAAATTAAGGTGAAAGGTCCGACAGCTGGCGAATGAATTAAAACTTTGTCCAAACTATCGGACACACAGAGGTAATCAAGCAACAGCGACGACTGAGTTTGACATTTAAATGCATTTAAATTTGGCCTATAAATCGGCATTCTAGGCATGTACGGGTACAATTTAATGTGTTTACAAATCAAATTGAATTTTTATAAATTTAGCTTAGACAGTGAGTGTGCTTGACGGTTTGGTCAAGGTAAAAACAACCTGAGAGCCCTTTAAATATTTAATATCCAGCTCGACAACAACGCACAACAAACAATGAAATCACTGCGTGTGTGTGGGTGTGTCAACACAATCAGCATAATAACTGAGGGTCGCATGCCCCAAAGCTGCAATAAAAGTGGATTAAATGCAAACATGTGTGAGATTGTTTGGTTCATTCGGGTTACGGGTTGCGTACCCCAAGATTATAGGAGTCTTTGCAGTCGATATGGCCATTCCCACACACGAATTGATCCCCTGAATGCCAATGCCAAAGGCTGTGCCATTGGCAAAGCCAAAGCCAAAGCCAAAGTCAATGCCTAATGACTTTGGTTACATGCCAAATTAGGCCACACACACACAAACGATGGCCCAACTCAACTCAAACTCAAGCCGTTTGGGTTCGAACTTGAAGTGGCCAATTTCCTATTGTACTCAGTTACTTTGACACAAATAAATTTGACATAGATTGTGAGCGGCTCTGACACATTTATTTGTATCATGTGCAGATTAAAGGCGATTCAACTAAATTATTTAAACTCATTTCGGACAAGCCTCTAATAACATTCTTGAATGCCTTTGGGGCAACATAACTTCATCACTAATCAGATACATATATAATTAAATATTTGTGTTATAGTAAACATGCTTTTTAAAATAACTAATCATTGTTTATATTGTATTTAAAGTAATGTGTAGCTTTTGTTTATGTTTTGCTGAAACAAGAACAGCAAAGATATGTCATAAAACCATATCCCTTATTATGTTGATACAGCGAAAATCCTATAATGTATTTGCAATCATTTCAAGCTCATCTTTTATTATCTGGCTGCCTTTGCGTTATCTGACATCGATTTTCTGATTGGATTTTATGAGCCTCGAGCATTTTAGCTTATTTAATTAACACGTTCGCGCTCTTTCTCTATCTTTGTGGCTCTTCGTGGTTCTCTCTTTCTCCTTCTACACAAAGAAAATACGTATAAAAATACGTCGGGACTACATCCTGGTCAAAATACATACACATACAGCGATATATTAAAAAGTTTTTTAGTTGTCCTATGCAGCTAAAGGAAACTCATATATATAACAATATATATATTTATACATATATATACATATATACATATTTATTTGTATACATATACATATATTTAAAGTACAAAGCTTACTAAATGTAGATAAAAAGCACTCAGAGTAAAATATGTCACTAATCTACATAAATTAAAATGGAATTTGTTGTCCATTACTTATCTCGTCCAACTTATTTTTGCAGCAACAACTTGCATATAATTAAATACACCTGGAAACTAATGTAAAACAATTTAAATTTTAAATTAATCTATGTCATTTGCATAGTTGGGACCAAGTTTTTAGGTAAGCAAAGCAGGCAAAAAATACATAAATGTCAGACTTTAAAAACCTTAATATATTGCAGACTTTTTTGATGTAATTGTTGCACCAGATATCTGTCGAATATCAAGTTCAAGTCTTTACTTATTATTATGCTAGAAAATTGCATTGCTACTTGAATGAATGAAACTCAGTGGGAATTAAGCTTTAGGGTTCATTGGTTAGGATTTCATGAAATGTGCCCGAATTGCTGCCACAAACAAGTTGGCCAGTTGGCCGGCTGCCACTCAGGCAATTATCTTTGTTTGGCCTGGCTAATTTTGATCCGAAAGCAAATGCAATATTATGTCCAACACGATGTGTTGACTCAGGCGATTTAGTGGCTGTCTGCGCATATGAGCTTATCCGGTTTTCATTATTGCCCCAGCTAATGGTCGAGTGCCACAGCACTCAGGCAGATGGCAACGCCCTTCAGTGGTCATATTTTGTCATTCGTAGCGCGGCCATGAAAATCAATGAAGCACAAGAATTACTCCGAGGCTATATGAAATGATTCGAAATTGCATCTAGAGTTTTATGTTCTCTCTTCTTTCAAGAGTCCATATCAAGCGTCAAATTAATTTCAATAGCTACCGCTAGCTCGTTCGATTCGCATTCGCTTTGCGAAAAACTCATAACTGTCATGGTTATTGCTACTGTCTGGCTTATATGTTGCAATACTTTCACTTCAATGAGGCGTAGGTTGCTCGCCCGATAATATCCACATGCTGCATGCACACAAAAAAAAACTCAAACTGAAAAGTCTACCTCCTCGCTCTTTTCTTTCATTTTTTTGTATTTCTGACCATTTATCAGGCAGTGTCAAGTTGCTGAATGGGCATTTTGTCGTTGAGCGCAATTTAGAGAGGAAAAAACATTTTTTTTGCCACAGTTTTCTTCGGCTTTTATGGCGAGGAGAAGAAGACGGAATGAAAACTGTGCCTATAGATAGAAGAGAATATATCTACAATGATGTGCCTGTAGTGGGAATAGAATATATCTGCTATACTATATGCTTAATCCGCACAGACTTACGAGCGAATCATGAGTCATGAATCAGACTTTACTTTTCCAAAAGGTTTTGATATTTTGAATATATATCTGACCCAACATCTATACCTATTTATTTATTTTAGTTATTTTTAAATTAGTTTACATCACCTTAAAAACCTTTTACTAAATTGTAGCAAGGCCTCAATCTTGGCTACTAATTGTTAAGACACTCGAGCTTGCTTCCAACGATACCCTACTCCAAACAGTGCTCAACACAGAAAACTGCTTAAAGCAACCAAAAGTGGCTGCAGCCAATAACTTTACAGAATTGAAAGACTTAACTCGATAAGCAGCTGTGCAAATGAAAGGGATTATCAATCAATTTCGCAGAGAGAAACCAACATAGTTAAGTCCCAAATCCAGGGTATAGTCGCCATGAGCACAGCTACAATTAAAGTTGTGCTTATCCAAGCAAATGCAGAGGCTGCCTAGCAACTGGTTATTCGTTAAGGTAGGCTCTCAGATGATTTTAATGAGAAATGAAAAGTTTTTTGGTTCGCTTTGAACTGTCGAATCCTTAAAAGTCACAGTTTAATTGCCAATACATTTTTAGGGTTTCTCAATTTAGCGCTTCGCTTAATTGTAAACGAAGTCGAACACAAAGGTTGCCCCGACTGCCACTAACAATGGGAAATTCTACGATATCATCTCTTTGTATTATGATCTTTATGATGCCCACATAGTAATTAGCGCGTGTGCAGCTAATGTAAAGGTAATTACACCAAATAGGCTTCCTCTGTTTACCTTGCCGATTTGCATTTGCAAATGGAATCCGAATGCATATAAATCACACAGAGCTGATAATTAACTGTCTAATTACATGTCGGGAATGTCAGGTAAAGGTAGACGTCAGCCTTCGTGTGCAGTGAGAGGCTTCATTATTAACACTCCAATAATTAGCATAATAATCTGTTGCATCTATCTGACGCAATGCTGCATTAGGAGACAAGGGAGCAGCGGCAATATTTAAGATAAATATGAATGCGAGTTGATTATTGAACTCTGGCAGAAACTTAAATGGTAATTAGTCCGGTACCTAGTATTTAATTCGTTTTTATTTTACTTGATTGACTCGCCGAAACAATAATGCATTCAATTATCGGCCAGCCAGACAGACGGACATTTGTTATAGTGTCAATATAATTTACAGCGTTTGCATTAATGTAAATTCATTTAATTTATTACTGCGCAAAATACAATTTTTCCTTTATTATTTCATTTACGCATTACTCGAGCTGCTATTTAATAGAAAATTAATTACACTATGTAAATTGTTTGTTTTTAATGGAAACTGTTAAAATTTAAAGCGGATTCTGTTGGCTATACCTGCATCATACATCATCTGTTTGAAGCCATTTCTTTGCACTCCTAATTTCGTTTACTCTCGACTCATATTTGTTCCTATTGCAAATCCAATTAAACTTTAATTGCAATTAAAATTCAGCTGAAACAATAACAGAACAGAAGTCCAAATTAACCTCGAAAAGGGGAATTTAATAAAAAGAGAGCCAAATAAATTATAGAGCGAGGACTCACATTGCAATTCGCCATGTCGTATAGTCGCATTTCAATTGAATTAATTAAATTTGTAAATGTCCTTTTTTTCCTGGTTACTGTTTGCTCCTTGCTCGTTGCTCCTTGCTCCCTGTTCCTTGCTGTCTCTTACATGCAAATTTATTGGGCGTTTGTCGCTCGCACACGTGTTGAATAAAAAGAATTTCCCTTTTTACGAATTGCAATTGGCATTAATTTGCACGACCAAAAAAAATCAGCTAACGAAGAGGCAATATATACAAAAATAATTCTCAAATTAAAAACCAGATAAAATGGATTTAATTGTAGTTTTCATGCCCAACAATGCCAACATGAATAAAATATCCAATGGAATGCAAATGAGCCTCAAAAAGCTGATCAATAAAATAAAGAATAGCTTAAATTTTCTTACTATATTTTAAAAACACTTTTTTGAGCCAAAGAACTCTTAAACAAAAAATCCGTAAAATATGCTCTGGTATATATAATCCGAATACTGTCAATTGGAACAATAAACTTTGTTAAAAATTAAATTAATATTGTATTTAAATGAAGAATAGCTTAAATAAAAAAATATTTGTTGATCATATTTTAAAAACATTTTTTTTTTGAGTATAAATACATATTTCCTAAGTTCAAAAATATATTTCTGTATATTATATATTCTATACATTATATATTCTGACGTCTGACATCAGGTAAAATAAACTTGGCAATAAATCAGATTCACAGTGAGTTTAAATGAAGAATTACTTGAATAAAAATAGTTATTATTATTATTATTAAATATTTTAAAAACCCCGTCATCTGCAAACTTAGTTAAAAATAAGATTCATATTTGGCTTAAATGAAAAATATCTCTAACAACTTATAATTTATAGTAATATTTAAAAAGTTATTTAGAGTCAAAGCTCTTCTCCTCTTATCTCTGTCATCAGGTGAAATAAACTAGGCTAATTAGGTAAATTTTCATGTTTTAGGCAAGCCAAGGCAAACTTTACAACATTTTACTTGACTGTCAAATTCATTCGTGCTTGCCGAACATTTTCTTAGTGAATAAATGTTAGTTGGCTGCTTTTAGAAAGTTTACCCAGAGAGACTAGGTCTAACTCTTTTCAAGACTTTTTAAAAATGCTTTGATACATTTTAATTTGATATATTATTTTGGAAGGCGAACTTACGGAAAATGCGACTTGCATCAATCTGGCAGAGGAAATTTTTCAGCTGCAGCTGCCGGTTTTAGTTTCCTTATGGCTAAACTAATCCTAGGGCTAATTATAAAAACTTTTGTCTGCCATTTAATTTTGCTGCAAAAGCTCATTAAAATGAGCCAAGATTCGTGAACTTTGGCGAAAACTTTTACACCTACTGATGTGCACTTAGGAGCGCTGACAAATGTCACGTGACTTGATCCGCACGGAGTTGCGACAGCAGCTGGCAAAGGTTTTCGGCAGTCCGACAACTAAAGTTTCCAGTTTGATGTCTCTCACAGGCCACAGCTGGCGGCAATTGTGCATTTTTTATACAAATTTAGGGGCCAGCTATAAAATGATGCGAATGTGTAAGACGACGTCGACGACAGCAGCAGCTGGAGGCGGCTTTTGAATTCTTAACAACTATGTTATAAAACAGAATTCATCAAAATTCAATTACTTGATGCGTTCGTCCATAAAAGTGTGCAGCATACTTTTTGGCACTGAAACTTGAACAGTTTTTCTTTCCTTTAGAGTTGCTGCAGGTGACTCCGAGAGCAGCAGTCAAGATATGCCAGCTTTACGACTCTCACTGCTTGTCATGGTCCCTCGACTTAGCCATTTAGAGCGCTGATGTTTGACACTATGTTACTTCACTCAACTCTATTTAGTGGAGCACAAGTTGCCCAACTTACTCGCCGGCACGTGACCGTGCGGTTGTTGGTCAGCCATTTTAATGTGGCCTTGTCGCACTTGAGTGCCAAGTAACAAAACACAAAACACAAAACATGTACACCAGTGACATTTGAGGATACTCTGTGTAAACTTTAAAAAAGACAGCAAAAAGCAACTTCAATTGGTCAGTCAACAACAGTGGCCACAAAAATATGTATTTGGAGTGCATGTGAATAGCGATCGTTGCTGCACTCATATGAGCGAGCTGAAGCGATCTGTGCTGAATTGTGCCATATGAGTTACAACTCTTCATGGCGAATTGTCACTAAATATTTGATACTCCAAGCGACTAGAAGAACTAGATTGAGCTACTAGATTGAACAACAATTGATTATGATGATTACTCATACGACTTACTACACTTTGGGCTGAACTTAAAATTGTTATCTAATGGCTTATGAGTATTAAGATCATAGGTCACAAGTGTTTGAAGTACTCAGTTGTTGGCGATGCTCAACAGTCCACAGTCCACTTGAAGGCCTCAAGTGATGATTATCAATGCCATAATGAAGTGAGCATGGAATATGACAAATAATTGTTAGGTATCAAATCAAAAGCATTTTTTACAGAAAATTATTTAATGCAAAGTCAGAACAATAAAAAATATTTACTGCAAAGTTAGCATTCTACTTACTTTAAATATCCATATATTTCCATCACTGAGCTCACAGACTTCTGCCCAGGCTGCAATAACATACAATTTTGTGGAATTAGTGTGGCTAAACGAAAGAGAAAAGAGTTGGGTTATTCTCACAATTGCAAATGCAAATACTCATACATTTTGTTTAGCTTCTAAGGAATGTGGCCAATTAGAAACACTGCAATGTAATTTCATCAATTTCTTCATCAAAAACTTATGAATTTTGTGTGCATATTATGATTGAGCCGTGCGCTCAATGGCACATGGGGCAGCAGCTAGTAGGCAAAAAGTTTTTCATCAATATTTGTGGAACATTAGAAATTATGTGAAGCACTTTGGCATGCACAACATGGCTGGGCGCTTGTTGTAGATCTTCTTTGGCTGTCGATACTTGGCATGTGCTCCGGAAATTGCTTGCAACTGCAACTGCAACTGCAACTGCAGCAGCTATTGCAAGATTCATTAATTTATTGGAAAACTCGTCATAGCAGGGCGCTGCCTGGCAGCTATGGCTGGTGCTGGGCTCGAGCCGAAATACCGCACAAAATTCAAACTGGAGAACACAATCAGCAAATGTTTCCCTCTAGCCATTAGCATTAATATTTCAATGAATGGGATTGCGCTAGATCCGGGTGTGGCTGAGCTGGGCTGGGTTTTTCAACTTTTGAGCTGCGCCACGGGCTGCCGAGAGGCATAACAAGAGAAAACTCAGTGCTTGTCAGCTGGTGCCAGATTTACGTGTTGTTATTGTGGCAACATTGGTGCGGGGGTGCAGCAAAACGAAAAAAAAATAGAAAGAAAACCCATAAGCAACAACAACTAACTCGAAGCGCTCATTTTTCGCTTTCATAAACAAGTTTTTCACACTGAGCCAAACCCCAAGCAATGCCAAACAGGGGGATGGTTATAAATTTACATGGAAAATCAAGGCAAGGCAAGGCTAGGCAAGGCAACAGAGCACGGCGGGTGAGAATTGTCGACTTAGGACCCAAATGCAACTTATTGTTGCTGTAATTGTAGTTCTAGTTGTGCATGTTGAAAGTTTTACTGAATTTATTATGATTTGCTGTACTCACTGCTGTGTATAAATTATTGTTATTAATTTATAAAACTGTTGCCCGAACTGGCACAATTGAAATACGAGTGTATGTTTCCCTAGCCCACTCATCTGCAACAGCAGCAGCAGCAGCTGCTTCACAATTTTCATGTACTCCACACTTCAGCTTATTCGCCCATTATATATGCATTTTCTGGTCCGACCTGTCTTGATTATCATACGCCAGCTGCTTGGCCCATTGCGTCCATCTGAATGGGCATTCAATGTACGTTGTCCCTGTTGGCCATAAAACTTGATTTGCACACCATTTCCGCTTGCCATTAACGCTTTGTGCTCTGCCATCCAGCTAATAAAGGAAAGCAGAGACGGTTTCAGTCTTGAATATCAGTGTACATAGCGTATACTTAATATTAAGTTTGCATTGCTTACAAAGGGTGATTTTTAAGAAATTTCCAACAAATGTTGTATTTATTTGATTTGTCTATTTAGCTTAAGTTCAATTTTCAGCTTTATTTCTATTGCACGCTTCGTTGCAGTTCACATATGTTTACATAATGTAGCCTATTTGTAACACGAATAACAACATTTAGAATACGTAGGTAGAGTAACAGCTGCACTACTGCACTTTCAGAGTAGTATATGGTTTTGTTTTTTCAGTTATAAAGTACAGAAAGAGTCTTGGAATTTCATTCGTTATACTACGCACACCTTTTCAACAATCGTGAGCAGTTGACTGAGCAGCAATCCAGCATATGCAGGCAGCTTCTGCCCTTTTTTAGACACTTTTGGGCGAAAGAGTCCAGTTTCATCTAAGGAAAATAGTTATGGCTGAGCATGTACATGAAAATCGATTGCTAAATACCTTTCTCAACAGCGTTTCCATGCGCATAGATGAAGTTTCAATGACATCGGGAAGTCCAACATGTTCAACATTTTCCACCGTATTTTCTATGAATGTCACTTTCTCAATTTTGGTAGTCGTGGTCTGCAGGAACGGCTCAATAATCACGTCGTCTCTGCTTGAATATTTGGCAGGCAGATGATATTCCTTGTACTTCTTGCCAGCCACTGCCAAGTTGACCAGGCACAGGATCAAATATATTGTGCTGACAGTTAAATGCATTCTGTATAAAAAGTATTCGATTAATAGAAAAAGTGAGTGAATTCAGTTTCTTATATACTGCCTGAGCTTGCATGATAAATAACCATATGTAGCTGCAGTTTCATATTAAATTTCTTTGCAGCTGATTTGGTGGCTTAAGAAACAATTGTGCTACGCCATGGCTAGGTAAGGATTGCTTGTTATTAATTTTATATATATATATATATATATATATATATGTATATATATAGTTATGATTAAGGAAACCTTCGCAATTCCTCTTGCTGTCTTCTGGCTCCTTTCAAGCAGAATGTTAACAATAAGAATAATAATATTCATATTGCACATTCAGTGCTTATTGTTTATGACAATGGAAAAAGCTGAAAATGCTGACGACAAAGCAAAAAAGCAATTTTCACTGCGTATCGCAGGCAACGCGAGTGAGCCAAAGCTTTGTCCCACCTCAAAAAGAACTTCACATAAAAGCGAAAATTCGGCTGGCATCTGATATTTGTCAACTCATTATTAGCTGCCTGTGTGCCAGATGCCACTCGCTGGGCTAATTGAAAAAATGTTTTCAAAGCCAACCGCGCTCTGACTTTATGCAAAGAGCATGGAGTTAATAAAGCTGAATATTCACACATCCTGTCATCCGTACTAATTAAACCACACTGCAGCACTCTTTGAGTATTTGTTATCCTTAAATGCCAACGCACACGTTTTAATTAATTAACACATGTTTATAGCAAAGGTGAAGTGAACGTCTATAAAGACACGTTACTGTAGATATATAAACCTGGGTATTAATATCTTAAAAAAAAAGAAAAGAAGCTTTTAAGCTGAAAAGACAAAATGTGCTTAAGACAACGCAGCTTTGGAGCACGTTCTTCTCTCGGTCACACAATAAAAATCTGTGCACACATAAAACTTGAGTGAAGAGCAGCTCTGCTCAAAATGAAAGGGTCAACAGTGTGACTTTATGTAAGCATCTTAGCCAGCTCCATTTGACATTCGTGCACGGATAAAACTACAAGTACAACTTACTTAGCGCCCGAAACCCAATTGCAACATGATATGTTGACACATCAGAGTGCTGTGTCTGCATGTATACATATATATGTATATGTTTGTATACAATGATGTATGTATGTCTAGTTATCTGCGTAATTCAATAGCTAACTCAAGCAAATGCCCTGATGCGTTAAGCTTGTTGAGAGCCATCGGCCCACCCTCGAGCCAGCCAGCCACCCGTCAGTCCATCAAGCATCTTTCAACGTCGCTCGCCAGTCGCCGTCTGTCACACCAGATTAAGCAATTGAATTTGGATTAGACACTGCGCCACGATATGCTCCTACCCATACATATCAATGCTATTTGCATACATTCATTCATTAAATATCTGAGCGCCTGCAGTCCAGGGATTAAACATACATATATTCAAACTTCTTTAACTGCACTTTAGAGTTAAAGCTTAGCTTAAACCGTAGAGGCAATAATCTGACAGTTTTTCTGCCTCATATTTTTGAAAATGATTAACGTTTCATACTAAAGAAATTGTTATACTAAAATTCCCGAGCAACACTAAACGCTCTTAAGTTCTTAATATCAGAATGTGTTAGCTATTTCTCTATAATACTCTTAATTATAACATTTTTTATATAAATCTAAGATATCAAATAAATTAAAAACATAAGTAAATAAAATAAATTTAAATTTTTTCAAAACCCCGAATTAATTTATTGCGTTCAAAAAAGAGAATAAACAAAATAAATGGAAAACTAGATACTAAGACTAAATACCACATTGACTCTACAAAATAAGTCTAAATTGCATTTAGAGCTTCCATTTGCACTTATGGGAAACAACATCATATGGTTCAGTCAACACAGCTCAGAAGACTGCTTAACGCACATATAATCGATCTGCACACATAAAGATATAAATACATGCCAACAGTTCATCGAACATGTCTGCAAGCCCAGCAATCGATACTTGAGCTGAACAAATAATCGTCGAAATTATTTACCCCTCAACCTATCAGGCAGCAATTAACATGATTACAGCCTGCAGACCTTCGCTTTAGGGCGATTTAACATGAAATTTCTAACAAATATCATTTGTCCATATGTTAATCAATATAAGCCTAAACATCACCTAAGCTTTAACAGTTCTTATGCATAACCCGCTTAACTTACTGGGTAACAAAGAACGCTTGGTAGTTGCAAATAAAAGAGAATATTAGCGAATATTATAATAAAAAAATACAAAACAAAAATCTTCCAGAGTTTTCATTTAACATTTTCAAAATAAGTCAAAACTGTAAAATTATTTTCAAATATTATTTACAATGAATCGTAATATTTATTTATTTTTTATTTATTTATTTAGTTAAGAGAAATCTTTGACAACCTCATAGCTGGCAGCTTGCGTGGGTAATAAGTGAACCGTTACAGTTGGCTAAAGGGGCAAATACAATAGGAGACACTTGGCAACACAGATATCAATTACATAATATGCTTAAAAGCTAAGCTGCCAGAGTTTAGTGAGATGGCCCACGTAAGAGTTAAGATCTGAGACGTAGGCCTACTAATTTACAAACCGCACATACAAATACGAGCCGTTGTACGACATGTTGCAGACGAAATGTTGGCTTGCAACTTGTTCGTTACTTCCTTTGGGAAATTTCCCAGTATTGCCGCATGCAACAAGGCTGTTAGGCCATCATCGAGCACTTCAACTACATAAGCTGCCACAAGACATTTGCCACTTTTAGTCCATTGTCGGTTTTCAAAGTGTGCGGTTCGATTTGGCGGGTATCCAAAAGCATTTCAGCCTCTAGAGTGAACAACTTTAATAGGAATTTAAAGCATAGGCACAGCGATAAGACTTAGCACACACATATGAAAACAATTAAATTACTAAACTAATTAAATAATCCAAACGCAAAAAAAGCAGAAACTGCACATTACTCAATAATAATCTAATCAGTGAAATAAATGTCAGAAAAAGTTGCTTCCAAATAAAAGTTAAATAATTTAAAGATAATAAAGTAATAATCCAAGGTTTTCAAGTACAATAAAAAATATTTCCGAATTCTTAAAGCAGTGCCCGTTATGAATATTAACAACAGCTGGCAGCTGCAATCAAGAGTCGATTGACACAATAAAAATAAATTTATAAGCGAAAAATGCTCTTTCCAACCGATTGCGCCTGTAAGTATGCAACATGCGATTAACCCGTATACTCAGCAGAGAAAAACACGCATACGCCGCATATGGCGCACGTTGGCCAGATTATGTGCGAAAAAGAAATATAAAAAAGATAATATTAAGCTTCGATTAAAGTCTATTGAATCTTGAAGCAGGCGTTAAAAGAAATTTGTGTTGCGAGATAAATGCTTAGGGTCTATGCTTGTGCATAAGTGAACACAATTTGCTTATTTGTTTGGTCATAAGCCTAACTTATTTTCTTATGTATATATGTATAATAATGTATATAGCCACTGGATGGTAAAAGTATGCCAATTGAAACTAATGAAATTAAGTAAAAAATTGGTTAAAGGCAAGAAAGTGGAAATTTTATGGTTAAGTTAATTAAGAAAAAACAAGTGAGAAGAATAATTTTAATTAAATATATGAAAAGAAAAATTTATATATAATTACATTCAAACTGACATTTTAGTTTCTTTTAAAATTATTTAGAAATCAATAAGAATTAATTTTAATTTAAAATTCAATTAAAATTGACCCTTGAAACTCCGATTCAATCAGCCTTTTGTTTAATTTTTTTTTTTATATTTTTAACGGCTGCCATAACTCAACGAAAGCGAAAAAATTTTCATTTTTCGCATTTTTTTTCATGTAAAAAAAGTTACGACAACTTTTTCAATGTTTTTTCCTAATAAAATGTTGTCGGCCAAGCCTCAATGGCAGCAGCCGCAGCCCGAAATGTGTCAGGGACAAACTGTAAAAGGTGCAATTCGCAATGCGCTAACACTTTAAAAAAGGCCAGCATCATTAAAAGCGCTTAAATGGCGTAAGGACGAGACAAAGTCAATGAAACTTCTAGAACTTTTCAACTTTTATTAGCACTCATTTGGCGCCCTCGAGTGGCCAAGACAACAAAGACAGAAAAGAGGGAACTTAAAGAATGCTAATTAAATCTAATGCAAATGATGATTGTCAAGGACTTGAGCCATCAAACAAGACGCAGGACAAATTAAACAAGGGTGACTAAATAATTTATTTAATTGTAAAACGCATCAACGCAGGCGACACTTCATGTTGGTCTTATCAAGCTAACTGAAACCACTAAACGAGAAAACAGTTTGCAAATATGAAAAGCAAAAAGATTTAGAAATAACAATAAGTGAGCAAGAGAAATGAAAACAAATCGAGTCAGATAATCGACAGAGTGGAAGCATAACAAAAGCAAGTAACAAAACGGAAAACCTTTCTGAAATATGTGAGCGTAAAGGAAATATGTTGCCCAACTGTAAACACATTGCGCAACGAGAAGAACCTCAACTTGTTTATGTCGACAGCAGACAAGAGTCAGAAGTTAAGTCAAGACCAGGCGATACGAGTCTTTGAAACAATTTAAATAACAACTAATGAAACAAATTGAAAAAAAAAAAAAAAACAAAAACACGACTAAAATCGTTGCATGCTGCAAGCTAAAAGAAAAAACAAAGACTTTTATCTTTTATTTCTGATAAAAAGTTTCTCTTGCTGCCAAGAAAAACCACGCAATTTGTTGTTATTATCATTTGTTTACAGCAGCTCGTTGTTGTTGGTGTTGTTGTTGGCACAGTTGCCTTGTTGTTAGCCTTGTTGACAACATCGTCAGCATAAGTTTGATTTTATCTTGAGCTTCGCTTTTTATGCTAATAGATTCGACAAATTTACAGCAGCTGCTGTCCTTCCTGCCAGCCATAATGATTCCCTGTTGAAGTTTGGTACAAGCTCGCCGAATTCTTTGAAAAATCAGCTTAACATAAAAATTTAAAATTTTCAATCAACATTTTGCATTTTTTATAACATTTCCCAGATTCAACAGAAACTAACACTTTCACGAGAGATAACGTAAATTTAATGTATAAATAAATGTATTTACTACATTATTGGAAATCTTAAGAAATTTATAATTTTATATTGATTATTAGCAATATATAAATTTTTAAATATTTAAATCAAAATATCAATTTTTATATATTTTATTCAAAATATTAATTTAGATACTTTAACAAAAATCTAATAAGAGCAAAACAAAAATTTTAAATATATTTTGAGAAATTTTTATATTTAAATAGTTAAATACAAATAAAAAAAATTTCAAATATGCTAATTCGGTTTTAATTATTACTCAAAATGCATTGCACATTATAAAATGCAGTTAATGAGATCAAAAAGAAAATTATTCTAATTAAAACAAACATTTCACTTTGATTATGTTTACATTTCGTCATGGCATAATATATATATATGTTTGCCATGTTATCAGAACTTTAATTAATTTTATTAAAACTCGTAAGAGGAAAATTTAACACATAAAACTATAGAAAATACAATGCAACTAATACATGAAGATAATACTATGAAGAAAAGCGCAAAGTTCAGCAAATGTTTTTGGCTATTAGATGCTGACTTGAATGCATAAATATAATAACTGATAGAGCTTTATTCAGCTTTTCTAGCTCAAACTACGAGCTCAACCTACGATTTTCATTTAATTATAGTTATTTAAGACTAAGTATGTCTTTTTCCTTAAATGCAGTTGATATTTCTGCAACTGCGAAAATATTCTTTAAAAGTGTCTTTAAATATGTTAGTTATTGATAAAGAGATTGCCTGTGGCAGCAGTTTGAAGTAGCTGTACTGCAGTAGCTCATGAACCTCTCCTCCCCTTACGACAAGTATTTTGAAATATTTTTTAAAACCCTAAAAATTGAAGCTATTTTGATTAAAAATCATATTTATATTCAAAAGTCATCAGAACAATATTTTGGGATTCGTAATTCCCCATGCTGTTGTTCTCTATAATCAGGCAGTTGGCAATGACACGCCCATTGCCACTTGCCCCTACATTATTTACGCTATTACAATTTGGGCTGGACAAGTGCTGTTAGATATATATTTATATTCAAATGTAAAGTGTATACATACATATGTAATTGATTGATTTTTGCCATGCTCTTGAGCAGATAAGTGTAGACAATGTTGGACGCGTTGCCATAAAATATGTCAAGCAAATTTGATTTCCCTCTTTATTCTGCGCTATGCGACCAATCGTGAAAATATTGAAATGAGTTGAGTCTGGGATTAGCTGCCTTAATGCCGGACAAGTGCGTTGTCAATATTCAAATTGAAAACATTCCAGGCGACAGCCTCTTGAAAAGCAATGTATATATATATATATATATATTATTTCATTTTCTACTCTCGACATGTTGAGTTCGCTGTTCGCCGTAAGCATGATTGGAATTTTAATAAGTTTCTGTCATAAGATTTATTTTATTGCCAATCTTCTTCTATTTTTTTTGTTGAAAAAAAGGGGAAAGTTTTTGGCAGCGTGCCCAGCGGAAAGTATACAAGCTTATGGCACATATCATATGATGAGTTATGTGCTTGCCTGAGCATCACAATGTCCAGCCCCGAAATGTAGGCTACACAATATGTAAATGTGTAAATCTATATATATATATATATTTAGTTTTAGATGTACACAATGATAGAGCCGGAGCCACGCAACAACTGCCTTTTTTCAATAATATGCCTGCATATTTAGACCTACCCTTTTCGTGTCTACTGTCAGAGCTGCCGTTGTTTGATAAACAAAATAAATAGCTGCTGCCTAGCTAGACTTCCGATAGCAGAATTAGACTCAGCTGCTTTCTAATTTATCGCCGATTGTATGTCATACTTGAGCTGTCAAGTCGCATCACTGTTCAACTCCTCCGCATACTTGAGCGTAAACAGATGTATTTGATTTCTTGCCCAGGCAGCAATGCGAAAACTCATTTGCATAAGCAGGAGGGCTGCTGGGCACGTGGGCTGGCAGGCAGGTGGGCAGGTGGACAAAAAACAGAGAAGAATCATATACACACACACGTTTCCATTAAGTCATAAATAAATATGTACTGCCAGTCGCACGTGTGCAGATTTCTTTTTATGAATACACGCATGGCACAGCATATCGAATATCAAATGAATATATATATATATTATGTCACATGACTTTTGCGCGCTGTTGAATTTTAATGCCTGCAGGTGAAAGTTCAGAACTCAATTATGCATTAATCTGTTAAAAAAATTGTATTACATTCTAAGTTGATGTTAATCAATAAATATATTTAGATAAAAGTGAATATTAAAGTGTAAGAATCTACATAGTTGAAATATTTTTCTCGCCTCAATTCAATGATTCCTATCGAAGCAAGTTGATGGGAAAACATTGAATTGAAAGGCTGTCCACCCTCACAAGTAACGCCCTTATTGATGGCCCACGCACACATAGAGAAATCTGTGGCTTGATGAGTGCCAAGTGGCCCCAAAGGGATAATAGTGCTAGCCTAACGGATGTGATTTACTCAGTGCTTGCCTGCCAGAAAATCGCTCTCTCTCTCTCTCTGTGTGTGTGTATTTTTATGGGCCATGCGGCGTATGAGTAATGTGGCTCGATTGACCACAACGCTGACTTGTTGCCGCGTCAGCGAGTCATAAACTGCTTGCAGCCTTTTCTCACTGTCTGAATTTTTCGGTCTTTTCAGAGAGTGTAAAATTGCCCAACATGAAAAATTGCGCTCGACGCAAATGACATGTGATTCCGCCAGCACCTGACGAATTTAGCTACGTGCGTACGATAGAATTGCCTGAATTACGAATTGAAGCAGCGACAGCCTCGCAGGTGTACTGGGCGTGCTTGTGCATTAAATTCGCGCATCGCACAACCCGATTAACCAGCAAGAGCCAGAGCAGAAGCCCGAGCCCGAGCGAGAGCCAGAGTCCAGCAGCAAACACACATGACCGTGCTACGGGCGGCACCAAGAACGTGACACATGGCGATGTACTTTTATGCCAATAAGATATCGGCCATTGTCTGCGGCACGCGTTGCAAGCAAGCCGTGCTGCAAAAGTCGCGTGGGTCGCGGGATCGTGATAAGGATAAATGCCGGCGCCATCGGCAGCGTCATCGAAGCAGAAGACGCAGCAGCAGATGCCAGGAGAGCAGCTCTGACAGCGAGACGAGCGCCGATGATGCCTGCTGTGGACACGACCTGGACGCCGCTGCGCATCCGGATGTGGGAATTTTTCTGCTCAATACCAGCAACTCGAATGCGGAGGCCGCACAGCTCGGTCTCGAGCTGGGCTTCACCAACGAGGGCATGCGGCTGCGACGTCGACACAGCGCAGAGCAGCTAAATGCACACGATTTGGAGCTGGGCTTGCAGCACTACCAGGTGGCAATTGAAATTGATTCGAAATGAATTGATCCTGATTATGATTCATTTGCAGCTTGCAGCCAAAGATGATCCGGTTCAATATGATGTGCCCAAAAATACGCACAAGCGCAGCCAATGTGATATCAACTTTGAGGTACCTATTTAAAAATAAATTTATGGCTTGTGCATAAATTTGTGCTGATTTGCAGAGCTCTGTTTTGGGTTCCGGCGGCATCATGTATATAAATGGTAAAATTGTTTCCGGCCCACTTGACTCATTCCCCGAGGTGCTCAATCCCAAAAATGTCATGGATTTAGATAAGGTAAGAATTATGAATATGTATTTATAGCTTATATTCAATATTGAGATTTCAACTCTTGAGTTCCTATAGCAGATATTTATATATAGAGAGATACACGCATATATACAGAGTCCCATTAAAAAATGGTTTTAACATTTTTTAAGCGTTCATAATTATTTTGCTTTAAAACAAAAGTCGCCCAAACTTAAAGTTCAGTTGAAATCTAATTTCATGACAGAAGCTGAACGCTGAAAACAAAGAGCAGATAGTGCGCAGCACCGTAAACTAGTGAAAGAAAGATAAGAAAATAATTCAATAAACGAGCAGAAAGTGAGTGAGAATGAGAGAGGGAAAGCGAAGAGAGAGGCAGAGCTAGGGACAGAGGTAAGAGTCAGAACACATTGCTGTGAAAAGGAAATGGCAGCAAGAGCAAAAAATAATTAGTTCATTGCAAGGAAATTGAGTATGCACAGCCCTAGGAAACGGCAGTAAGCCCACACACTCAAGGCGATAACCAACAAATGAAGCTAATGGAATACTTTTCCCTCTCGCAGCTCAATTGTTGTGGCTGTGGGTCCTATTTGAGTTACGCTAATCTCGCACTTGTGTTTATCTTCTGCAGGAATTTCTGTTCTCATTTTTATTATCGTCACGTCTGTTTATGCGACCCCACGAGCTGCTCGGCAAGCTGTTGGCATCGGTGGCCGAGGGCAAGTGTTTGGAGACACTAGTTGCCCTGCTGGCCGAGTGGACGCAGAAGTTTCCATACGATTATCGTGACGAGCGCATGATGAATCATGTAAAACATATCGTTGCTAGGTGAGCAGGATTTAATTTGATTGTTACTATCGAGGAAATCTACTTAATGGATTACACCCACCGTGTTTGTAGATGTTCCAATTCACATTTAGAAGCCATAGTCTCCCAAGTACTAAGTGCCTTACTTCAACGTTTGACTGATTTAGAGCAGCACGAGGCCGATCTACGTGCCTGCCAGACCAACAGTGACAAGGTGAGCTGAGCTGACCCTCATATTAACAGTTAACATTACAAATTTACTGCTGCACTTTACGCCAGGTCGTTGCACCAATCAACTGCCCAACGGCCACTCAATATGCACAAATATTGTGCCGACTGGAAAAGAAACTGGCCAAGCACATTGGACCGGAGGAGTTTGTCCAGTGCAGCAGCATGGTGCTATTGGACAAGCAGGTAAGAGAAGCTGAGATAAGTTACTAAAAATTATATCTCAAAATTGAATATTTGTGCAAGTTGTGAAATGCCCAAAGCTTACTACTTAGCCTGGTCTACAAGCATATTAATTACATTAACATAATCACACACCTTCACTAGCAAGCCTCATTAACACAACAAATCGTCGGGTCGTGTTGGTTTTTGCAGAAAAAATGGGACCAACCAATATCGTCGGGTGGACCACCGGGTGCCCAGGATCCGAAGAAGACCTGCAATCTGGAAACGTATCTGGACTGGTCGGCACGTCTACGTCTGTTTGTCTGCAATGAGATACTGCAGGTGAGGTAGCTTATAGACATCTCTCTCTACTAGGAGTCGGCCAAGTTAACATATTCGTAACGAATGGGCGCCTGCCGACCCTGCCGGCCCTGTCGACCCTGCGGATTGAATTAAAATCCCATGCGCTGTCAAATATGCACAACGACCGACATACGTGTCCCTTGATGGACCGACGCATGTGCCGCATCTGTGTGCATAGTCGAGCAGGACGAGGCTGGCATATAATTTATGCCGCTCGTAACTTTCCCATCGACAGTTTGTCAGTTGGCCGTGTAAGTGACTCGTTAAAGTTTTAGTGAAGTCACGTGGTCTGCATATGCTATTGTCATGCCATCCATGTCCAACCAGCCAAAACTTTCCTAAACAAACAATATCTGACAACTTGATTTTCAGTGCACCGGAATTGAGGACCGCAGCCGAACGGTTGAGCTCTGGAGCGGCGTCGCCCAGTACTGTCTGCTCGTCGGCAATTACAATAGCGCCACGGCCATCTTGGAGTCCCTTGAGTCACCTGCTATAGCAAGACTTAAAATAACGGTGAGTGTCCAAATTGTTTATTTTTATGTTGCCTTTTCACTAGTTCAACTTACGGTGAAAGTAGAATTTACTTAGCAAAAACTTAGAATTTCAATTTAAATTTCTAAAAATACGAGATGTTAGATCAATCTTCAAATATTAGGAATGACTTCCTAAAGAAAGAAACTATCTGCCTAAGCTAAGCTTCTCTTTAAGAATTCAAAAATTAATAACAAATTTCAATCAAGCATTTTTTTATTTGCTTTTGTTAAGCTTGCCAAGGCAAAAACCAAATAAATATGAAAAGAATAAATTTTGACCACGCCCACGCAACCGCATTTGCATCAGCCCAGGTTGCTTTGGCACATTTTTCATCAAAATTACATATTTCTCTAGTTTTTTTTTATTTTATTTCCTATTTACTTGGCAGGTCGCCCGCAAATGCTTCAATTGCGGCTGGGCGTTCACTAAATGAAGCCAGTTTTCATAACAATTTTTGTAATTAGTTAATGGATCTGCCCTAGCTGTGCGCGCCTTTAACACTCTTCTCTCTTAACAAAAATTCAGTTGCCTCAGCTTTAGATACTTTAAATGCCATTTTCATTGTATTCATTATACAATTCAGGTTGAGAATTCTTTTCATTTAACTTCCACTCGCCCCTTCCCCCTTTTTTTTTGGGTTTGTCTGCGTGAAAAGAGTAAATTGCACAATGCACAAAGGACGCACAAAAAAACGAATGGTTGAAAAAAAATATTAAACCGAATTGCATAAATTCACAGACCTATGGAAGAAGTTGTGCAACGGCGCGAAGCTGCGTTTGCATTGTATGGCTTTATTTTTTATATATTTTCTGCAGGCTAGTGAAATGTTTATGACTAGGAATACAGCATAACGATAACCATAAATATGTCAGCGTAGAACATAAAAATTATTCAAAACTTTAAGTCGTTTACTAAAGTCGAACGCACATGGCATACAAATGTAATGATTGAAGTTGAAGTTTAGATTTGTTGTAATTATTGTCCCATTTAAGAATATCCAAATTAAAATCTTATCTAAAGCCAAATGTCGCACCATAAAATGCGATAGAAAGCTTAAGCGCAAATTACAGACATAAACGCGGCGCACAAACAAAATCATAAACTTTTACAGCGCCCCGAAACAAGGCACGAATAACACAAATAAAACGAATTAAAGATATTTTCCATTTGGATGAAGCACAACAAGTACACACACGCACACATGTTCACACATATATATATATAGAGTGACAGAGAGTATGTGGGAGTGTAGGAAATTCTGTTCATTTATGTACGTATTTCCATTTTATTACAGTGGAGCAAATTGCAAGTGACATGTCAACAATTGGATTGCATGCAACGGCATGCCGAAGGACACGGGCATTTATGGCAGAAGCAGGCAATCGTTCTAAATGAGCAGCAGCAAAGTCTAAAGACTGATAAGCAGCCTAGGGCCGCATCATCATCAACAGCATCATCAGCATCGATAACGAAAAACTCATCGTCAACATCATCTGCAACAGCAGTAGAAGTAGCAGTAGCAGTAGCAGCAGCAGCAGCAGCAACAACAATAAACTCCTCCACCTCCACGTCATCCGGTGCTCTAGAAGATTTGGTTGAGCAGCCATCGACATCGACAAGTGCCAGTGGGCAGCCAGTTGGCATAACAGGCATTTCCGGTTTCAATGCAATGCCAGCGTCATTGGAGAAGGCAACGCTAGAGGTGCCTTCGACTGGCAGCAGCAATGTGGAAGCAGCCACAGCCACAGCCGCAGTAACGCCAACACCAACAGCAACAACAACACCAACTATTTGTGGCAAGCCCAATGATTGGGTTGTTATTCCAGTGTTTGCGGATATTGTTAAATTGGCGCTGGCCGAACGGGAAAACTGTTTGCAATGGTGAGTTTTCGCCTCCATTTTTTTCAACCAATTCACTTTACCTGTGCCATTTGATTGAAAAAGTCTACGAAAAATATAAATAAATAAATTCTCTTTGCATGATTAATATTGCGTTTACGTCATGGTGCCTGCACAAATTTTGACTGATTCTATGTTTGGCACGCGTTTGTCTCTCTGTGTGTATTTTATTTAATTAACCACAAAGTGTCAAAATAAACAACAAACATTTGAAACATTTGCAAGTGTAAATGACATGGCTAAAATCATGTTCAACCATATCAAGTATACGCCCATATCCTCTGCGCGCTTCAATTATTCATTGTTATTCAAGCATTAAAAATTAACGAATAGCGCATTGTCATATGCCATATGAGAGGCCAAACATGAAAAATGCTAAAAAAAATTTAGGTTTGTTGCATGAAAACATAAAATAATACAAAAACTTGGGTTGAAGCTTGATAAACTTGTAAATATTATAAAGCCTCATATGCAGAACAAACCATGCAATACATAGCAGGTTGAGTTTAATATATTGTTGAAATAACATAGTTAATTTTTCATAATTTGGCAACACATTGAATCGCCGTATGTTAACTATGTGCCTTTACGCAATACTAATAAAATTTTCGGATACTTCTTTATTCAATTCAAATAAAGATACGATATAATCCCTTTCAGAATTAGCCAGGTTAACATAAAGAGATGCAAAGGTGCTCTAAAGGGGTTCAAAAAGGAGGCTTGCTCAAACTTTTCAAATCAGAATTAAATATAATTTTTTTTAAATAATTTGTATGCATTCAACAAGAGTTTTACATTGAAAATTAAAATTAAATTAAAATTCTAACTGCTGAATGTTATCAAAAACATTGAACTCATCCATAAGTTCCAATCAAAATCTCTCCTATTATCTTATAATTCACTTTTATATAGCTCATTGAGTTATCTAGAAACCCCTATAAACAACTGCCACTTCGCTCTTAAGCTCATATCTCAAATCATGTGTTCAACAATTCACAGTGCTGCAAAGCATTTGAAAGCAATTGATGTGCGGCCATAAATCGGGCAGTGGAAACGCTAATCAAACCCACAATTACCGAGCAGTCGCTGATTTTAATAGCACTCTGCATAGACGAGTGAAATATGCATTAAATGCCAGCTTTGGCATATTTTATCGGCCAGGCACACACATTATACATATGCATGCGCAACCCCCACCCGCCCATCTTGATACATATATATACCGCTAACAGTTTTGCATACTATAGTAGCCAATGTGCTTTTTGCCCGCTCTCTTTTGCGTGTTGCAGCTTACCAAATGGCCACATCAATGTGATTGCCTTCGATCGAATGGCGGCCATTGTCGGCGCCTTTACCAAGCACATGCAGGCGATGAAATCGACACAGGCGCCATCTAGCGGCGAGTACGAGCACTTCTGCACCCACATGCAGCGAACTACAAAACTTAGCGAAGCGGGTAAGTAATATTGTAAATCAAACCTTGCACTAGGCAACACTTGCCTCTACTTTTCTATTTTTTATTTACTTATTCTTTGCACTTTCCACGTACTTTATCGCATTTTTCACATTTTCCACTGGCTCAAGTCGGCATTTTAGTTTGTTTGGTGGAAACTTTAAGTGCACCGCGGCCAACTGGCAATGACTTCAAGTGGCCCGGAAAAGTGCCTCCATGAATGAGCATATGTGTGTGTGTAGGTAAGGGGAATGGGTGTATGTGTATGTGTGTGTGTAGGTAAGGGGAATGGGTGTATGTGTATGTGTGTGTGTGTGTGTGTGTATTCGTGCTACTTACATTTTTTAAATGTAAAACTAAATGCGCTGCAGCTGGCCGAGTGCACATTGAGCGAGGCAATTAAAATGTAAGAGAGAGAGGGAGAGAGTGACTAAAGCTCGCAAATGCTTGGCGCGTGAGAAATTGAAAATTATATGAAATTACTCGCACGACTAATCGCATTCATACAAATTATTTGATTACAATTTACATAATTATAACTGAAAACGTTTAATTATTTCAGTTAAGTTAAATTGAGTCTAGCATTTCATTAGAAATACTTATATTTAGCAGAAATTTTATATATATTTGGGGTGGCTATAATTCGGCTGCATTTCAAGCATCATTTTACTTTCTTTTCTTTTTTTTACATTCAGTTCATTTGTTGCAGCTTATTCTGTCACTAATGAGTTGGCCCGTTTGACAGTATATATATATATAAATATCTTTAATTTTAGACTTAATTACTTTTATTTCTATTTTATGAAAATTTATCTGATTCCCCGACAGCCCAGTAATCTCTTCAGCCTTCGGCTCTAGTTGCAAGATTCTTTGGATACCCTTATCTATATCTCCCTATGTAGCACTGAGTTTCTCACAGCCAGTTAACTTCAGTCCGCGCCACAGAGCTACATAAAGGTATTCCATTTTGGAAGGTTGGAACGACTATATCCTAATAGATGGCGACTTTGCTGCTATACGTCAATTTGCTTGAGGCTCTCAGCTTCCATCCTGCAATTTTAATTAGCCTTTGCAGATTGTGATCCTCTGGCTCATATGCGCTCTTTGTGAATAAAACGCATCAAGTTGCAATTTTATGCTGTCCCCTCTCTTCCGACTGAGCCTCTCCCGCATCGCCTTTCAGCTAATTACATCTTCAGTTCATTTTCCATTGCTCCACAGTCTTTCGCTATCAAACCTCCCACCATTGCTCTATCGTGCTTCCTCAATCTTTACATGTTCGTGTCACGAGCACATCTCTAAGTGCAATTGCATTCGTAAATTCATTTCTTTCGGCTACTTAGTGCAAGTGGCTAAAAACTATTATAATTAATGCCTGGCAAGGGGCAGATGCATTTTCAAGCTCTTTAAGCTTGCGGAGAGTTGTGGCAAAACCATTATACAATCCTGGGCAAGCAATTTCTATCCCTCGGGAGCAGTGGCACAGCAATTTGTTGCTAATTAATTTGAATGAATAACCGCAATAAAATGCCAGAAATAAACTTTATGACCACAAAAGGGTTCAGTTATTTACAACTCTAGCTCTCCCAGCATAGCCCCTGCCTCGAACATTTCTTTCTTTATGTTTTAACAACAATTCATTTTCGCCTCGTTACGCTGAAAACGAATTTTCAGCAAAAGCTTTTATTTAATGTGTATTTAGCTAAGCAGCTTATGAATTTATGGCTCCCAAACTAAATATATAATTTAACTGTTCCCACTGTGTTGGCAACAGGAAATTAATGAATTAGTTGAGGATAAAGATATCAATTAATGTCCCTCCTGCACTTAAAGCCTTATGCACAATACATAAGCACATGGAAGTCCTTTGAGTTCATGCGGCAGGACATGGGCAACAACAACAGCCATAGGCAGTGACACCACGTGCACTGCAGCCTAGGCGTAAGAAAAAAGTTTTTAAATCCTTCTTTCAGCTGTCAGCATGCCCAGCACGTTAAGATATTTTTCACGGCTTGTGCACACACACAGACACCCATAGACACACACGCTCGTACACACAGAGAAACAAGCACAAACAGGTCGTTGCAAGACGACATCAAAAGTGAGAGAGAAAAAAGGAAGAAATAGACCCATAGTGCTGAAATGAAAGGTCCATATAGACCGAACTCATTATAAACCCAGGAAGCGTAAGATACTTTGAAGGCTTTTGCCGCAGGCGACAAACAACAAAGTCGTTCACAAAATAAAAAAAACAGCAAAAAAATGAAGTTGTCTTCGTTGCAAAAACGCATCCTGCCAGCGTCAAGCAAAAGAATGAAAAGTTATGGCTCAGTTTGGAATTTTCCCGTGTTTTTTTTCCCGCTCTCTCATTTTCTTCAAACAGCGAAGCCTCAGCTGCAACTCAGACTTAACATGTCGCCCAAAAGTTTATTAAACGCTTGATGTGCAGCTTAATGTGAGGTGAATGCAATTTATGAACTTATTTCAGTTCATGGTCCAACTACGCGAAGATATAAAACTTTGCCAAAACAGTTGAACAATGTGCCTCAAATAATAATAAGAAAAAAGTAAAGCAAAGTATTTATAAGCTGTTATAGCAAAGCTTATTTCAAGCGATTGCCTTGCTTTGAGTTGATGCAGAATTCAAAATAAATAAATGTTGATTTCTTTTTGGGAAAAGCAGTTTGTGAAAACAGCTTGAACAGCAAGTCAAACAGCTCTGTGGCGCGGGGTTGCACTAGAGACCGTGCTGTACGCTCGAGAATATTATAAGATTGGGATTTATATATAAAAAGTAAGCGAAATGCATGTATATTCTACGAGAACCAATGTGAATCAATCAATCTAATGAATCATTGCTTTTTATGAACTGAAGACTCTAGGTCTAGAGTTTAGATTTGTATAGATTTCATATTTGAAAACTAACTTGAAATATTATAAATGCAATGCAATGCAATGCAAAATTTCTTGACTGTAAATTTTAGTAAGAAATATCTTTAAGAGAAATATATCTTAAAAAGAAATGGAATAAAAATAGATTTTTTTAATTAAAAATACGAAACCTATTTTTTATCTAAAATGATTTATTATATTATAATTATTTATCTATTTTTTTCCTGTACTCAAAGCTCTGCAAAAACTTTGATGCTGTCTTTGTCCGCTCAATCGTAGCATAGCTTCAGCTTTTGAGCGTCTCTTTAGTTTCGGTCAAATGGAAAAGTCACAGGAAATCCGTTCTGGGGATTGCGGTAGATGCAGCATCATGAGTGCTTCGTTTCTGGACATCAAATTTGATACAGATTCTTGGCTCCATTTTTGAGAATAGACAAAAATCGAAGAAGAACCAAAAACTGAAACAGAAACTGAAACTCTATGCTAAGAAGAGAAACATAAACACCAACATAACAGCATAAAAATCAAAAATCCATGTAAAAGCATACTCAATACACCTGCATCAAAAATCAAATATCGCACAACTTTTAGAACACACCTCGTCTACTGCATATACCATATTTATACATTATGTTCAGCTAAAAGAAGCTAGCTTTAAAGCAATTTTTTCCTTTGTGTTGGCGCTGTTTTTGTCGCTCACAGAGCCATTTATTTTGTGATAGTTAGTTTTTTGCTTAGTCCAGCTAGCAGAGGAACTTCTAAATCAGTTTCGTGCGAGCCACAAAATCCAAAAGTGTCCTTTAACTTGAAAGTTGCGCCAAATACTTGAAGTCAACGTCAGCAACGTGAAATGCAAAAGGCGTCTTAAAAACTTTCCTGTCACGTTTAGTGCGAGTTTTTTTTTTTGCTGCTGCTGATGCTGCTGCAGCTCGCTATAAATAAATATTTTTCCAGTCAAGTCATTTTCGTTGTTATCTAAGTAATTTGCACAGCTCTGGAATTTGGAAAATGCACTTTAGCTTCAAGGATTTGCCTTGGCATTATTGACAAGCCGTAAGTGGCTGAAGGTAGCCAGCCAAGTGCATACTGCGAGGCAGCCGCAAAACTCGAGGCATTTTATTATGCTTTATTAACATTTTTTTTCCAGTTTTCTGCTGCAACGAATTTGATTGCAATAAGCAACTCACTGAGATGAGGTAAAAGAGCAGAGCAGAAAAAGAATTTTTATGAAAAATTGTAAGGAATCGTTTGGGTTTTAAAGTGAGTTTAAAGTTGAGATTTTAGGGGAAGCTGAGATTTGGAAAGGATTGCCTTTTGTATTCGATAGTAGGAGATTTGACAGTTGTCTCAAAAAGAAATCGAGTTAATGGAACAAATGCCTGACAGCTCTGATTTAGCGCCTAAAAATATTTTTTTATATTATGATTTATGTCAATTAATAGAAGAAAAAGCCTTAAGACAGCTCATTTAAGAAGTCTACACCTCTGCGTGATAAAAGTGCATTTAAAATTGGTTCAAGCGACTGCAGAAGTGAATTGGTTTCCACCCAGAATATTCTAAAAAACAAAAAATCCAACTTTCATTAATATTTTACTGTATTTTGATTATTGGATTTTCAATATAAAAAATAGGCCAAAATTGCTACCAAAGCACTATTATTCCCAGCTTCTTTTCATATAGATTCATTTTCCGTAGCGCTTCTTTTATTCTTTGTTTTTTTGCTGTGTTTTAAGCGGATTACTTGAAGTTTTTGCCACTCATATTCTACAAAGCTTACCTGGCTTGCACACATAATCCTAGCAGCAGCTGAGTAGAGAATTATATACAGTTTTTTCCGATTATTAATAAGTTCCAGCTCATTTTACCTGGCGTCAGTAGCAAGAAATTTAAATTGCAGATATAAGAAAAGTATGAAAACCCATTTAGTGTATGAAGAATGCAAATGAAAACTATTAGAAATTTAAATTCCATTTAAATATAGTAATTACAAAGAATGCATATTCAATGTGTTCACATTTTATTTTTATACTTAATTGCCTTCGTGTAAACAACGAAAACTTTGTCTGTGTCATGTTGTGCGCTTACAAATTTAATTACTGTCTTCAGAAAATATATATTTGGGCCACAATTTAAGGAAGAAGAAGCGTGTACATCAGTTTGCAGCCTGGCCCAAAAAAATCCTCAGCTGCCACATGAAAGCAATCTAGAGGCTTCCTTTGGTCAGACCCATGCCATGCTGCTGGCTGTAAGCCTGTCTGTTGTAACAACTGTCAGTCTGAAGGGCGTTAACGTCGGACGTGCCAGCACATATCCTGCTCACACACACACACACATACACAACAGCACACCTACATTGCTTAATGTCAACCAGCCTTTGGCAGCCTTAAGGTTATCCTGGGACAGAAGCCCATGCCAGCACAAGGTCTGTGAAAACTAAATGAATTCAGCAAATACCAAAGCTGAACAAAATGAATCAGCAAAACGTTGAGCGGGCGAGAAAAATGAATAATGTGTATTTGCTTTAACAGCGCCAAGGAATTTCAAATTGAAATATTCAAGTATTGTAGCTGCACTTACGAAATGCTCAACCAGTATGCCTGTGTTGGCCTTGTTAAGTGCTCAAAATTTAATGCCAATTTGTATGACAATTTTATGCGCACACATAAAATGTGATGCCAGAGGCCATTTAACACTCGGCCGGAAAGGTCAGCAGACAGAGCTTGGCCACGTTGAATTTTCATTACAATCATCCCAATCAATTGTTAGCCAAATATGAAAGACATTATTCATGCAGCATACAAAAGCCACAGACCAACCAACCAACCAGCCAGCAACAAATTGCCTGCTCGGACACCAAAAAGGAGCCCAGAACAGAAAACTCGATTCAAGTTAAATTCAACTAATTTATACAGTTCTATGTGGCAATGTGTGTGTGTGAGTGTAAGTGTTGTGTGTGTGTGTGTTATATCATTAGATAGCAAGGTCTAAAGCGAGGTGTAAGTAGTGTTAGGTGTGGATGTATGTGCAGGTGTAGGTGCATAAGTATAGGTATGTCTGCAGGTGCAAACGTATGTTTATATGTATTTCTAGATGTACCTCTATAAGTATGTGTGAATGTATGTTGGGTATATGTATGCTATACATATATATGTCTATGTATGGATGCATGTATAAATATATGTGTATATACATGTATATGTATACACTTGTTAATATGGATATGTATGTATATGTATATGTATATGTATATGTATATGTATATGTATATGTATATGTATATGTATATGTATATGTATATGTATATGTATATGTATATGTATATGTATATGTATATGTATATGTATATGTATATGTATATGTATATGTATATGTATATGTATATGTATATGTATATGTATATGTATATGTATATGTATATGTATATGTAATATGTATATGTATATGTATATGTATATGTATATGTATATGTATATGTATATGTATATGTATATGTATATGTATATGTATATGTATATGTATATGTATATGTATATGTATATGTATATGTATATGTATATGTATATGTATATGTATATGTATATGTATATGTATATGTATATGTATATGTATATGTATATGTATATGTATATGTATATGTATATGTATATGTATATGTATATGTATATGTATATGTATATGTATATGTATATGTATATGTATATGTATATGTATATGTATATGTATATGTATATGTATATGTATATGTATATGTATATGTATATGTATATGTATATGTATATGTATATGTATATGTATATGTATATGTATATGTATATGTATATGTATATGTATATGTATATGTATATGTATATGTATATGTATATGTATATGTATATGTATATGTATATGTATATGTATATGTATATGTATATGTATATGTATATGTATATGTATATGTATATGTATATGTATATGTATATGTATATGTATATGTATATGTATATGTATATGTATATGTATATGTATATGTATATGTATATGTATATGTATATGTATATGTATATGTATATGTATATGTATATGTATATGGATATGTATATGTATATGTATATGTATATGTATATGTATATGTATATGTATATGTATATGTATATGTATATGTATATGTATATGTATATGTATATGTATATGTATATGTATATGTATATGTGTATCATGAGACATTCAACTATCTATATATACATACATACATTCACGTATGTATACATGTATGCGTATCCGCATATACACATTCACATACACATACATGCATCTCTATATGTATGTGTGTACATATAATTATAAGTATGTGAATCAATGTATGTCATTCACGCATGTCAATATGTACATACCTATGAATGCCCACTTGTATAGATACACGTACACATGCATGCATCTGTATGTGTGTATATATGATTAGAAGTATGTGTAAATGTATGTGTATATACACAAGTATACGCATGTTTAGTTACCTATGCCTATGCCTATGAGTCTGTCTTTGACTCATGCTAATTAATCTGTTATTTATGATAAGCTTTAGCTAGGATCTGGGTAATTAAGTAAGTTATCTGAGAGAGCTCAAATATAGTTAGCTATAACGCCTAAGCTTCAATTAATATATGTAAAATAAATGAAGAGCAGCTTCAAAGAAAACAGTGGCAGCCTTTGCCTGCATTAAAGCAATCAAGGAATTAACACTTTATTTATGCAAATTTATGTCATAAAATTGGGCTGAATGCAGCAGAATATTTGCTTCGCAATCAGTTGCTATCGCAAGTCATTGGCCAGCCAATCAGTAGCAACAATTCTTAATCAAAAATGGTTTCAATTTATTTGAATCTGTAGTGCAATCAGGCTGTGGCCTGCACTAGCAGCTAGCTGAGACAGCTGCTGCCAAAAACCTGAACACAAAAAAATGTGTTACTTTTTGTTCGACTTGCTGTTGACCAGGCCAAGAGCTGAGAGCCGCTTGTTAGGCCCAACACTCAAAATATTCGTCAAGAGCACACACAGGCTGTGGCCGTGTGTGTACAATGTGCAAAAAGCAGAGCGGCAATACAAAACGCTTCACAAATCCTCAACGCACGCAGGAGGTGCACAAATATTTACCCACACGACTCTATTAAAACTGAACAAGGAAAAAGTAGTAGATAGCATAACCAACGCTTTAATCCCTTCACAAACAAGGGCAACCCTTTTTTCTCTCACTCTCTTAAACTCTTCTTTTTTTTTGTTGTATTGTTCGTAGCATGTGCGTTGCTCCAGCATACTAAAATGCGGGCTCAAATCGTATAGAGCAAGTGGGGGCGGGAGGGGCTCTTTGGCATTCTGTGGCAAGTCAAGAACACATCTGTTGACCAACGCTGACCAACAAGCAGGCAGGCGCTTTGCATCATTCTAGAATTTTAATGGTCTCATGGTGTGAATTGGACATGGCTGCCACATTTTGCCGCACTCAGCACACACATACACACACACACACACACTCGACTCACTCAACACTACACACAACGCACTCGAGGCACATATCTTTCAATCTTTCATCGTTTTCTTTTTATTTTTGGCCCGTCGCCAGTTTGTTGTAACTTTATTAAACCATGTTTTTTCCATTCTTTTGTTTTACTATTAAAATGTTACAAGCCCGGTTTCTTTGGCCACACTTGACCACAAGTCAACAAGGCAGAGGACGGCCCAAACTAAGCACGGGTCAAGCAGCGCATGTTGGCCGTTTACTAAAACTAAATACATATATTTGGGACGATTAGACAAGCTCTGGAGTGTATATGAAATTACTTTGTATACCTTGCAAAAGATATATAGAGGGAAAGGGGTTGTTTGAGTTTTAATAAGGCGAAGAGTCATATTAATTTATCACAACAATTTTATATTTTATTTTTAAAGGCAAAGCAAATGTTTATTTAGTATTTATTTTATCCATTATCTTTTATTTGTCTTATACAACTAATTTCCATTTTTTCTTCCCTTGTTTTTCCTTGCAGAACTCATGATGGCTTCATTCGATTGCGAAGAACCGAACAATGCTGAGAAGCTAATGTATGATTTGAATTAATTTCGAAAGAAAACAAAACTGAATAATTAAAAATAATAATAATAATAACGCAATAACATCGCATGGAGGCCATGGAGGCGTACCTCATAGGGCACTGCTGCTGACTGCTTCTACAGGGTATACCCAGCGCGATCCTTATTGTTCAGGCGTCTCAAGTCGACTCACTTCCTCCCCGTGGAGGCCTCCGGTAACGTTTTGACGAGCATCCCTAATGCCTCCAAAGCGGCCAAAGTGAGCGGCGATCAAATCTGCACAGATGTTGATGTTGGTGTCCTGGAATAAGCGGCATATTCATCTAATTTATAATTTTAGCTCAATGTGAATGAAATGTAAAAAATAAATTTATATATATTTTAGTTCCCTTAACTGTTATAAGTTATTATTATTGTTAAGTTTACACATACATATGTTTAAATATATTACCAAATAAATATATTTTAAATTCTGACAATCGACAAACTTGTTTCTCACTGCAAAGTTAAAGTTCCACACACACGCATCACTTGCAGCAGCTACGTAAAGTTTGAGCTGTGCCAAGAAGCCAGCCACATTTCCTATGTGCGTGTGTGTGTGAATTTAGGGCCAAAGCATATCGCAACAAAAGCACCAAGTGTCGAAGATTCTGCCAGCAAAAAGATAGCAGCGCAAAATCAGCCAAGTTCCCAAGGACTCCAATGACTACGTCCCTCTCTCTCCCTCTCTCTGTGTGCGTGTGTGTTCGTGTGTGTGCCAGTAATGTCTTTTGCCAGGCTCTGAATTATGTTACAGTCAGCAGATATTTATGCAGCCTAATGCATTTCATGTAATAGGTTTTAAAGATTTAGAGCTCTGCCAGCCACGTGAACAAATGTGGAAAAGCTGCATTGAGCTGCGTTGCGCGCATAGTTAAAGGGCGCACAAAATTAATGCATCAGTTTTGATTAAGGACTCAACCTAAAATTACAAATCGAACAAAATTCAAACTTAATGAATTTAACAATTTTGATAGACTAATAGCAATGTTTTAGGCTGTATTGTCACGACTGTTTAATGTCATTAGTTAACACTAAAAAAAGCAAAAAGCCATTTCATTTTTTTCCTAATAAACTTTTTTATGCTATTTGTTTAAATAGTTCGTCGAATTTTTTAAAATATTTTAATAAGTTTATTATAATTTTTAATTACATTTCTATCAAACTTAGGCGATGTAAATTGGACAGACAAAAAAAGTTTTCTCAAACTCATATAGTATAGACTGCGAGAGCTGTTACCGCAGATCTAGACACTATGAAATTACTCCCTACGCTACTAAGGAGCAAATAAAGACGCCATAGAACGAGCAGTTAAAAGAGATCACAAAAATATATTTTTTCTTTATATCTGAGGAACTTTACTTTCACGGGAACAAAATGTATATTCTCAAACTCAAATGTAGCCAAAGAACCATTTGAATTTATTCTTTCACTTCAAGCTATCTCGACTAATTCTTTATATTCTGCTTTTAGATTCAACTGAGCTCAATAAAAAACTTCAAGCAGTGAAGTCTGCTTCTTGACAACCAAATTTCATCAAAATTTGTTAACTTTCATAGTCGAAATGAGTTTCATGTGAAAACTGTGTGTTTTTACACTAAAGAACGAGGCACAATAAATCCAAATTGTCACTTACAAACGATTTTAATTGTGCCATTCTTTATTTTTCTCTCACTCTCCCTGATTGCATGGTAAACACAAACACGTGCCGTTGATTAAATTGAAGTCCATTCACCTGCCTTGGCACAAAAGGATCAATAAATTATGTGAAAGGTCTTGATTGTGCAGCTTTGGATGTGGCACTGTAAAAGCAAACGATTTGTCTTCAACTCTCCACACACGTTCCACATGTCGTGTAGCAACTGTGGCAAGTGTTGCAAGTGTTGCACATAAATTCGGCAGCCGCCTGCAACACTTGCCAACCACAAACTAAATAAAACGGCGAAGTTTCAGCTGTAAAGTTTCGTCCGCTTTTAGCTACAGCAACAGCAACGGGTTTATTTTCTAAATGCACTTGACCAACAAATTTAAAGCAATTTGTTGGCCGAACATAAACATTTAACTCGAACACAGATAACGAATAATGCATTTGTTTTAGATAACCAACCTGAGAAATGTATATTTCTGTTCAACTCGCATTTTGGCTGCAGCTGGTTTAGCAATTTATTTCCTAAATCTTGTAATTAAGGTTTATTCAATTTCAAAATTGTTAGTAATAAGAGTAAAATATAAATTATTAAAAAATGTATTTAAATATTTTAATTCTTCATTTATTTTAAATTTAGTTTCATCTGTTACTTAATCATTTTTCTTATTCAATATTTAGCTAAACGATTTATACTACTACATAAAAGTAGTTCTCCTAGTAAGCAGCTTTCTTTTACTGCATTTTGTTATATTGACATAATCATGCAGTGGCTTCCATATGAACAAGTTTGCATAAAAGTTTTTGTGGCTTTGTTCTGCATTTGACGGAATTGTCGTGCGTTATCCTTTGCACAAAGTTGTTAACTTAAGATAAAAGTCTTAAGTTTATTCTTCTCTTCAGAAAGAAGTGAATACACACGAGTGCAGCTGGCTTGGCTATATCTTTAGGAATGCTTCTCTAAGCAAGCCAAAGCTTGACTGTAAAATACACTGAGATCCGGCTGTGCAGCCGATCTGAAGGTTGTGGCTTATATCTTTATGGACGTTTACAAGTCACTTGTACTCTAGCTCTTAGAGGTATCAATGAACTATATGAACTGATGAACAGCGAAAAGCTCTCTAGTGACTCTATAAAAGAAAACTAAGAGCCAAGCTGAAATTTGAAAGCAAAGTGTCCAATCTCCATTTATAGCTAATTAAAAATGATATAAAAATGATCAAAAAAGTTTAAACTATTGTTAAAAAACTACCTTGAAATTTCAAGTAAATGCTAATAAATTATATTAAAATATATATGTTTATAATAATAATCTTCAAGTCACTTGCAGCATTGCTCACATAAATACAGCTAAATAGAAACAGAAGCTAAATATGCATTTTTTGCACATATTTTCAACCTTGTCTAATGCAGGATAATTTCAGAACATTTCCCAGCGCTCTAATTCAGATAAACATTTTTTTTATTATATGTATATGTATATATATATATGTATGTGTGCGTGTGTATGTATATATACCCAAATAAACGTGGGGCCAAAAGCCATAAAAACGTTTATGCCCCTTTTATGAACACACAAGCTGTGGAATTTCGCGCAGTTATACAGCTATCGTGGACGGACGACGTGGACAGTGTTTAGTTTCATTGTATTTACTTTTATTGCGCTCTAGCTCAAGGCCCTCGTAGAGGGTTATATTATGTTAATATGAGAGAGGGCAGTTGAAATAAGAAAATGTCTGCAGGGCAGGACAAACTTCTGCGTGTGCCTGTGTGTGAGAGCCACACTCATGTATTCCCACACATATCCCAATTGCAGAATGGAAATTGCAGCTAGTGGAAATGCTAAGTGGATAGTTTGCTTAAAAGTAAAGCAAGCAAAGATTGTGCTCGCATCCGCCATGCAAATGGCAAACTCTGTATGCACAAGAGTTAGTCAAGGCACAGCTCTATATAGGTACAGCATCTTTGCCAGTCCAATTAAAGTGGCTCAACCTAAGGCAATCTAAACTGGTTGCAGCTGTCCACTCTACATTTTTCTTAAAACTTATTCATATTTTCCATCAATCAAGTTGGTCAGAGCTGAGTTAAGAGCTGCTTACAAAACTTTTCTAATTAGCGTTAGGAGGCCAGCGAAAAGGAAAAAGTTGTTTATAATGTGCCTAGAGACAAAGTGTTGCACAATGTCCTCTCCCTTCTCTGAGTAGAGAAAAAAAAATTTTGAAGGTAACAAATAAATTCTTTAAGTCTTTTTGTCTTGGATTTAATAAAGCTTTACGCTCGCATTGTATGTCACTGAGTTCTTGAGCCTATGTCCTATATCTCTTGTCGGTTTCTGTGGTTTCTTATCTCCTCAAAAGCATAGATCAAATTTTAAGCTTCAAATTTATTCCCACAGGGTATTTCACAGTCAAAATGTTTTTTTGTTTTTAAATATTTATATGTGTAATAAATTTAATATTACAAAATATTATTATTATGTTATATATAATATTTTTTATTAAATTTATCGTTCCTATAATTATAACTAAATAATATTAAAAATTTAAAGTTACATAATTTAATAAAAACAAATCGAAAAATATAATTTTATAAATAACAAATTATTATTATGACATTAATTTGTAATTTATAAAATTTTATTTGGAAAATATAGTATAATATATAAATGAATATTTTTTTTAATTAATTTTGAATTTATCTTAAAATTCACTAAATAATTTAAATTTATTTTGTAAATTGTTTGATTATATTCTGCCTGCTTCTACCTCTACGTCTAGTAGAGAGCTTTGTGGTCGCATCATTAGTACTTGCCTTACTTATTTATTTTTTCCTACTTGCCAGTGTTGACAAAGATATATTGCAGAGCACAGCTTCCACAAGGCGTCTCTGCGCCAAGCACATCATCAATATTAATAAAAATAATTGTTGCTACAATGCTTTCAAATGGCATTTCCACATGTGCTTCGAGCAACGACTTCAATTTTAAAGAAGTTCATACAAATATTTATTTGCAAATAAAAAATAAATTCGAGACATACAAATATCTATAAATATTTGTACTCGTTGTGTTTAGATTGAAATGTGATTGAAAACTCATCGATTTTCGGCATTCATTGGTTGCATTTATTGCTCAAGAGCTGGTCTGGCTGATTGCAATTAACAACAGTTGCAAAACAATTGCACAACTTATCAATAATGGTCATCAAAAGAAATCAAGCAAATAGAGCAGAAAAATAGCAAAATCGAGAAGATAACATAAGAGAAGAAAAAAATCGAAGAAAAACAATTAAACTAATTGACAGCAATTTATACGCAACAAAGAGAAGAACGCGACGGAAAAGTTTTTCTACACAAAAATTGGCACCGTCCAAGTTTTTCCAGTGCAGTG